GAGCTCCTCTTTATCTCCTCTTTAAAAGGTGGCACGTCACCCCCCATAAGTGTTGGGGTGGCACACACCTCAAAGAGAAGTCAAGGAAGGGGGCAAGCCCAACCCTCTTGTTTTGATTTTGGGGAGGTGCCATCTTGATATTGCCCCTAGGTTAAAAAAGGGTTCTTACTTCTTAGTGAAACCTTAATTGTGACCCTAGCTTTTTTGCCCCATAAGATTCAGAAAGGGAGTCTCAGAGGTGCTTCTCAGTTTCAGATTGGTCGATTTAACAAGTTCTAAGATCAAGTGCACCATTGGTCAGATGATCGGGTGTGGGGTGTGCTAAGTCCTAAGGAGTTATCCAAGGCAAAAGTCAATAAGTCTTCCCATATTTATTTAATTTTATTGATATTCTTGCTTATTTATTTCCTAAAGTTGTTCAGTTTTATTCAGTTTGAATAAAGTTTATTTTTGGCAATAAGTCATTAAGTTCCTAGAATGTAGTAGGCCTATTTTATTGTAATTGTGGCACCTGTAAGTAGAATTTTCAGCAATTGATAAAAGAAAAAAAAGAAATTGTTGAATTATAGCCTGGAATTCTACCTTGCCACCTCTTTCATAATCATGGGTGGTCTGCCATTTTCAATCATGGAAAGCGATAATGTCTTGCAATGTAGTGCAGGGACAAACAATATGTATAGTTTCACACTCTAGGATACACATATTATCATGGATACAAGAAGATGTTGCTCAGCATTTCAAAATCTATGACATGGATATATATTCCTATTTTTTAGGGTGGGATTTTTTTTTGGGGGGGTGAGTGGGGGAGGGAGGTGGTTGGGTTGGGTTTAGGTCAGATAGTGGGATTGAAACTCATATATGTGCTGCACTTGTCAACCCAGGTGCCCAATTCCGGACATGGTTTATACAAGTCCATTTTGAAATGAGTCACCTCTTAAAAATCTATTTTTGAGATGGATTTTTGGACCTAATTTTTAAGGACATGTAATCTCTAACATGGAGATTATAAATATGAAAAAATATATAACTTCTGAAAATTAAAAATAATAATTCTATTTAGAAAACATTTGGACCGTTAGTTTCAATTGTTTTTAGATGGACCACCTAGATGGATGCTTTATACCTCGGGGACCGCAAGTGTAGAAATGTGGTCCCCACCGCATGAAACAATTTTCCTTATCTTATTAGTAGTATATTCATCATGAAACAATTTTCCTTATCTTATTAGTAGTATATTCATCATGTTTAAGGGGCGGCATTTTACATGTTCTTGATACATATTTAAGATCGAGAATTAATTTGGAGCACTTTTGAGCTCCAATTCATTTCTTTTTAAATTGATCCAGGAGATGAATAAAGACTATTTGAGAGTTTTGGATTTTAAAAAACTGCTGACGTGGCATTTTGGCCATGGGACCAAATATACAGTTTGGTCCCACAAGATCAAGGGGTGCGTATAGGGTTTTCTCATGGGATCAAATTGCATATTTGGTCGCACAGGCTATTATGACCTGGAAATTTTCAAATCATATTTAGTTCACCTTGTGATCAATTTCAAAAGAAAAAAGATCTGATCTCTTGAAACCTAGTTCTGATAGTCCATAAAATGGATTGTCCAGGGACAAACCTAGATCAAGATTTAATTTGGAGCATTTTCTTTATTAAGCCCCATATTACCTGTTTTATTAAAAATTGGTCCTTGAGATGAATTAAAGATTATTTGAGAGTTTTTGGGACAAACAAATCGCCACAAAAATGGTGCTTCGGCTATTTTGAATATTCATATAATAGATTAGATATAACATGCACTTTAAACTTTTTGACAATTTTAGATATATCACATTAAGAAATATAATTCAGTTCTTCTCATATTATTTTGTACTTAGAAGCATCCTAATAGTATTTGGTATTATTATCATATCATGTCAATGCCTGCGAACTATACATATATAGAAGTATTCGGGTTGGGCCAAGACTGCCCTACACCTTGTACTAGAGACTTCAATCTCTTGCAAACAAGGATGATGTCCACAGTAGAATTCCACTAACTTTTGATGATTCTTCATTTCCTTGGCATCTTAGCAGCATTTTTAATAACAATAAAGCTATTTAAAAAGTATCTTGAGAATTATCAAAGTTTAATGGAAATGACCATATCCAAAAGTGGGGTGACATGTTGAAGGATTTGTTAGTATAGATTTGGTGCACTTTCTCTCAAAGGAGATTTCCATCAAAAAGCAATAACCACAAATCCATGTTTGTTTAAAAACATATTCCAATAGGACAAAGAAAACTATCCACGTTTAAATATACTTAACATGGAAAGGACAACTCGAAGGATCTCAGTGCACATGAGAAGCAAAGTTGATACCTTTCCGGGACTTTTCCACTTCAGGATGGTTGGCAAGGGACGAGGAACAGCTGGACCTGTTATGTAGAGCTGCAAGTTGCTTGCTTCCTTAAAAATCATATCCCATTGAGACGATTGATATTGATCCACTTGATTCTCATTCTCACAATTTTTGAAGTGTCCTTGAAGTTCAGAAGTTCTATTGATTAAAGGATAATCTGAGAGCATACCATTCTCCTAAATGAACCTGAAAATTTGCTTTAGATATCTGATGAGGAGTAAAATAGTTGCAAAGTACTGCATGAAACAGAAAATATGAACCATGGTTCATAGTCTCTAATGAGCCACCATGATTATCCTTTCCTATTTTATGTGTTTCCATGCATGGCTAGAAAGTTAACAATAACAATCAAATTTGAACCTATGTTGCTTGACAAGCAACATATCCATCTAATACATTTGTTCATAAGTTTTCAGCATCAGCAACCAAAGTAAATCTCGTATACCAGATTGCCAGTGATACAAATATACTAAACTTTCTTAAGCTTGAAATAAAAAAATAATTCTCACAAATTTAAGCCCAAAGAGCAGTAGCATGTGCCTGGAAGCCACTATCAGAGGAGAATGTATGCTTTTATGCTTAAAAGGTCAAAATAATCATGCTAAATAATCAAAATCTCAATATTCAAATTAAGTGCATAACTGTGAGATCTGTAATTCCTTATTTTCTAGAAAACAAAATGCAGTAAGCAGCGTAAGCCATTTTTTAGTTCAGAAAAACGAAGAGACATTGTTTAGTTCATCAAAAACATTTTGATGTATCGGGGGTTCATTCCCAACACAAAAATCAATGAGAATTATTGCCAAATAGTTTCCCATTTGATGTAGTATCGAATCGATACCTCAGTTCTAAGAGTAGAGATTGCGAGCATAATTTGCAAGCCCAAATCAGGACCTCAAGTAGAACTCAATCACTCATTCAGGGTTAAACCAGAGACCCAGCGGGTCAACAACAAGCATATTTTCAGTTTCTTTCCTTTTTTTCTTGAACTGACAAAAATAGTGTTTAGTTTCGCAAACAGCACACAGAGGCTTCTTATTCACTACAAGGGACCAAACACAAAGAAACCTCTCTCTCTCTCTCTCTCACGCATCAAAGCTATCTTCAGTCTCCAATCGTTGGCAATCAACAGTGAAGAACTTCCAATCCATGACATCAAAATGCATGGATCAATCTGCAGTTATCAGCTATAAAAACAAGTAATATTATCTTTTCAGCCCTTTGCTTCTGAGAGTCCTGCTTCCTCTTTCCTTTCATTTTCCGATATGGCCTTTGGTAGCCAAAATCCAAACCTTTCAAGGAAAGGTGCTCTATCAAGAACCATGGGCTCCCTTACCGTGACATCAATGGCATCATAGATCCATAGCCTCAAGGTTGCCTCTCCCTTTAGCCCCAAAGAGAACCAACCAAGCCCAGCTATGGCTATGTCCATGCTGTTTACTACCCACCTGATCCCTGACACCTTGAATTCCTGTTGCCCCCACTCTTCGAGCTCTGAAATCCTCTCATCTCCAATGGGAGGCTGAAAACAACAAACCCTTTTAACAGGGATTCATGCATATATGCATTCATTATACATTAATACATACAAATGCACATGCATTCATGCATCCATCAATCTATACAAGACACAAACCTACATTATACACAAACATACATAAACTTAGACACATACCACACATGCATAGGATTGACTGAGCTATTTTTAAGTTGCTTGCATGTGTGCATCTGGCAGCTCATAAATGGTCATCTTTTGTTTAGGTCTAGAGTATGCCCACCCTCAAACGCAAATTTGTTTTGGGTAAGAATACAAATTGTTTTCCGGTAAGAGTAGTTTTCATCATTTTCAAATTGCTACTGAGAGATAGGCGGCCTCGGGAGTATAGAAATCATGATGGTTGATATCAACATAATATCAGCCCATTGCAGTTTACATTGCTCCATTAGGATGAATTATTGTTGTTCATGACCAATATTTTCCTTCATCATATGCGTCATTCCTCAATAATACTCGATATGCTTAATTAACTCATTGGGAGTTCGTTATTTTTGTTTGAGAAGAGAGACAGATCAGAAGCTCCACTAGATGTATGTGAAGGAAACTCTACTAAATAAAAGAAGACGCCAGAATGTTACCTGTAGCCTGGTGCCAACATGCTTTTTCCATAGTTCTTCAGCATTTTCTATCTTCCCAAAATGAAGTGACATGTTCGGTGAAGCCCAGACAGTTACATAGATGGTCTCCACGGAAGCATGAGTTAAATTGAGTCTCATTAGGCCACCAACATGAATAGTCTGTCCTACCTGCAATTGGTGTAATAATGATGATTATAACATCATCCATGATGTGAAAAATGTAAAAGTGAAGCAACAGGTAAGATCAACGTGATGTAAAAGTCAATTATCTGTTGCTCAAAAATCACACAAGAAATGGTGAATAGATATAAATCCAATTAATAGAATGAGTCAAATGCTTTCTCTCAAAAAAACAAGAATGAGTCAAATGCAACTCTAAAAACGTTCAAGCAACAAAATCCAGAGACCAGAATCAAGGTTTAATGGGAGAAGTTGAGCATTACTCTTTATGAGAAGCAAAATGAAAGGGTAGCCCCTTACTTGCTTGCACGCACGCACATGTGTGTGTGTGTGTGTGTGTGTGTGAGAGAGAGAGAGAGAGAGAGAAGTTGAGCATTACTATTTATGAGGCAAAATAAAAGGGTAGCCCCGTGTGTGTGTGAGGGGAGAGAGACAGAGAGTGAAGAAACCAATAAACAGCAACTAGACAAAGATAGATAATCAAATTATGAATTCCATACAACTGAAGCCCAGAGAAGAGATACACATGAATCAAGAAACCAAAGGCTGAGGCCTCTATACGCATTTAATAAATATTGAAGTGGGAAGCCAAAAACTAGAAACCAATGTAGGAAAGTACAATATTAAATATTCTATTGGGGAAAATCATAAACAAGAAACTAATGACCCCAGTTGGAAGACATAAAAATTCCTAAGTGATCGGCTCATCAGCACACCATTGAGTGGTGCTTTCCTGTAACATGGTTGAAAGTTGAAACATATTAGTCACCTAAGTTTCCGGATTACTATATCAAGTAATGGATAAACAACTCATTTGTTATTCCTTTCTGCCATATTTTACAGGATACCAATGTGGGGGTCATGGACCTTTTGGCCAATGAGTGGGATGCAAAGACAAGAACTAAATACTGGATACTTCAACCTTTTTTTTTTATTTGCATCACCAAACATTGTATGCTGTTGTTCTTAAATAATTTTACAGAACAATTAAAAATTAATTACAGAAAAAAAAAAAAAAGGAGAAGAAAAAAAAGAAATAAACCTCTAAGTTCTAATAAAGAATAAGGGGAAGGCTAGGTAAGCTTGTTTGGACTTTTCGGGACAAACTTCAAAACTCCGAACTCTTGACCTCCCTCACCCAAACTGATGTCTACCACTAGGAGAAAGCCTAAGAGAAAACAAAAGGCCAGATTAGTTTACTTGTGCTTTCTGGTACCATTAACCAGAGCCTGAATTCTGCACAGGATACAACATATTTAACTTACAAATGCCAAATGGCAACCCCTTGAATCAAGAAAACATGCAGAACAAAATTCTCTAAGCAATGAATAGATAAAAATTAGAAGTAAAAGACAGCATTGAAATCATGAAAGGATATTCTAATTAAAAGTTAATCCAGAAATATATTACCAGAATACCATTTGCTTTGTGTGCATGCTTGTTAATACCTTGCCGGCTCTTTTCAGGCAGATTACTTCGACTAGTTGGGGCTATTCATAAGGTCAAGTTACCACAGTAGGGGGGATTGGGAAAGGGAGGGAGGTGGGCACAGAGAGAGAGAGAGAGCGCACCTTCATCCTATAAGTCCTCGGTTGCAACTCCTTACGTATCTCCACCATCTTCTGCTCATCTCTAGTGAGCCTCAGGCTCATCAAATAAGGATGCAAAAGCCCTGGATTATCATACATCTTCGCTTTTGCAGGCAAAATCCCTCCAATTCTCACAATACCAAGTGTAGTTCCAGGAACCGCTGCCTCTGTTAACTGGGTCATCTTATTTCCCTCTCTCTTTGCAAATGCATTAATCAAAGTTGATTTCCCTGCATTTTGAGCACCCACAACCCATACATTTCCTCTTGGACCAGCTACCTCCTTGATGAACATTAACAAATTTCGAACACCCAAATCCTTCTTTGCACTAACTAGATAAACCCCACTTAATTTGGAGGCACCCCCAGCCTTAGCCCTGTGTCTAACCCATCTATCTAATCTAGTTGGTGATATTTGAGATGGTAAGAGATCAACTTTTGTGGCGACAAGAACAAGTTTTGGCAATTTTTGCAATTTTGACCCTTTTTGCAGTGCTTTTAACAAGGATTCAGCAGCTTTCCGAGGAAATGAACCATCAAAATCTACACAATCGACTACTAGAACTACCACTGTGTTTGCACCAGAATTGCTGGTTTTCATGAGTCGGGTGCTAATCAATCGATCAAAATCAAAGTCAGGAATCAAATTCTCGAGCTTTTGGTTCTTTATCTGGCCATAATTTCGTAGAGAATGGCACCTTGCGCACACTGTTACAGTGGGTTTCTCTCTCATGGCCTCTCTAGCCTTCTGTTTCCTCTCTCTCTTTGACAACTTGTCCTTCTTCCAAGAAAGAGTTTCCTCGGTTATGTTCCCATAACCCACACCAGCTGGTGCAAACCCATCCAAATCCTTCTCACATTCTTCCTCATCATCTATGACTTCAGGCATTTCCCAATCAAAATTTTCATCTCCACTGCCTATAACTTCTTCTTCTACATCTGATTCTCCTCCTTCTTCTTCTTCCTCTTCGCTTTCTTCTTCTTCACTGAATTCTCCAAGAAAATCATCAAATTCGCCATCAATTTCTTCCGTTTGTTCTTTAGTATCCCTCTTTATGAAAAACCCAGGAAAATCAGGGTTTTCACTCTGCATAAAAACCCCACAACCTGGACATATGGGCTGGCCCTCTTCTTCATCCCTGCCATCACTGAAAACTGGTTTTGGGGGTGCCTTAGATTTTCTTGTATTTGTTGAAGTGGGTTTTGAAGATGAACAGATAAATCTGGTTGTCTTGTTGGTTTTGACCAAAACAGAGGGATTGGAACCATGAAAGCATTGAAATGAAGCTACCCAAGAAGCAAATGTACTGTAATTACCTCGGAAATTAAGGAAATGAAGACAGGGCGTAAAAGTTTTCTACCTTTGGATAAAAGATGAGAACCGAGAGAAGTAGATATGGGTTTTGTAGGGTCTAAAGATAGAGACACCATTGGAGCTGCAGCATCACAAGTTGAGCACGGGAGATAAGCGTATGTAGGGATTTCTCCGTTCTCAAACTGTCAGTAAAAGTATCACACTACAAATCTAGAGAAATTTACGCCTGTATCATGATAAAATTACTGAATTTCTCTTTCGGTCTCCAAGTCAGGTAATTTTACGACAAACTCATGCATTCCTTATTTTTATTATTATTTAAGAGCAACACAAGCCTCTTCCATCGATATGTCTTTAGGATCTTACGGGATCATCATTAAATTTGACATTTGACACAGATATATAAAAAAATTAAGTTTGCGATATTTAACTTTTTTAGATATCTGTGTCAAATTTAATAGTGATCCTTCGAAATCCTACCCACATGAGAGTGGAAAGATATGATAAGATCATTTCTCATTATTTAATTATGCTCCTGGTTTGGTTTTCAACTATAAAACGACTCATTTTTTTTATTTATTTTATTTTACATGAGTGGGGCATCCGATGTCAATAGGTCGAACCTCCCACATTTGTAGGGTGGTTTAACATCGGACCGCCCCACATTTTTTGCTTTACCCAAATGATAATTGCAACATAGAAACGCTTTAGAACTACTCTATATGGTTTGATGTTCAAAATTTTTGACCCCTATAATATAAAAAATTATGAAAAATGATGGCATGATATTTGTAACATTGAACCGTCTTATAAAGAAGTATGGGCAAAAGATGTAGGCAGTTCGATTCCTATAGTCAATGAGCCCCATAAATGTGATGGTTTAATATTTTAGACATTGGAATGCCCCACAAATGTAAAGAAAGAAAACATAAAAAAATGAAAAATAAATAATTTGATATTTGAAACATCAAATTGAGGCCAAAACTAGATTAAAAAAAAACAAGTCCCACGAAATAAGACCTTGCAGTAAAATTCCCAAACTTGTAGACCAAAAGGAAAAATTCGATAACTTTTACTCAATCTATTAATAAAATATACAACATATTTATTAGACCAAATAACAAAATTAAGTTGGAAAATTTTTAATAGAGAGGAGAGATAAATAGTTAGAAAGAAAATCACAAAGTACATGACCACTAAAGAGAAATCACATTGTACATAGCCATTAGAAATAGAGAAAGGAACCGGTTGCAAAATTTCGAGATAGACTACATAAGCGGGAGGGAGGGAAAGAGAGCCCTTGATAGTTGTGAATTGAGAGTGGTAGATATGATGTATTGAGAGGTTGAAAAAGAAAAAAACATTATAAAAAAAAGGTTTTACAACATGATGAACTAAGAGTGTGAGATATAATGGGGTTGAAATAGCACAAATATGGTAAAAATATTTTTTGGGTTGAGGTGGTACAAAAAGGAAAGTATACAATGAGACCATTTATCTTTGGTACAAGGTGATCACAATTAATCTTGGCCATTGGATGTAAAATTTGGTGGGTGCATTTATTTCATTGACCAAACTCAAAGTTCAAAAACAATTTTTCGAACTTTGTGACATACCCAAAGTATCAGATTTCACATTGGATGATTGTAATTAATTGTGACCTCCTTATACAAAAAGTAAATGGTCTCATTGTATACAATCCGGGTATAAAATGATTTGTTGGAGTTAGCTTTTATGTTCAAACGTTGCTTGGTTCCCCTGTTTTTTCTATTGAGAAAACTATGCATACCTCCTAAAAGAAAGGGTAAAAGAAACTCTTTACACTACAACACTACATATTTAAAATACACTTGATCATTCCCTTAAAATACTATATATATATATATGGATAATCTAAAGTTCACATCTGTTCAAATTACATAGGTTAATGATAGAATGAGTTGTGAATGGTAGATTTACTAATTTTGTGGTTTATTTTTTAAAAAAATTACTTTTGTAATATATTAATCATTAAGTAAGAGTAATTTTGTAAAGAACACTACAAGACAAGTGGTATTTTTGTTATATCCATAAGGGGTAAAGTTGAAAGTTTTACTAAAGGACAATGACACTTTATGAATAAAGCTTTAGGACATTAACTTCAAAAATGTAATTGTATTTTTATAAAATTTTAAATTTGCCCTTGCTTAATGGTTAAGTTACCTATCAAAATATTTTTTTAATAAAAACTAATAATCTTTTTTTATAAATACGCCTATCACAACCCCTTTTAAAATTCACCTTTGTATTTTGAGGGGTTGTTAATTCCAGACAAACCCATATTTATGGGGGAAAAGTTTACATAGAGCCAAGGCTCTAAACAATCAAATTCAAGCCTACCTTAAAAATTTCACTAGAAGAGGTTGATTTGATGCCCAAATATCTTCAAATTGATCATATCGACATCAAGATAAATGGATATAAGAAACAAATGGATTTCTAGTGTATTTTGTAACGCATTTTTTTACCATCAATTTTAAATATTTTCAAGTTTTCGTATATCTCTCTATCTATACTATTTCTTAAGCTTTAAACTTTATAAATAAATAAAAAAAAATGTCTTAAAGCTATCAAAAAGATTTCCAATATTGAAACCACATTTCTCGACACTATTTGAAGGTAGGCTCTAGTTTTATTGTTTGAACCTAGGCTCTATATATATATATAAGAAGTGATTTTATGCAACTGTTGTATAATAATATAATGAAACAATCTTAAAAACCATGTTAGTACTATTTGTTTGACTCCAATGTTTAAATATACTATTTTCATTACAATGAACAATCACAAAAAAATAAAATTTGTAAACACACCCTAGAAAGTATATTTTTAGTGCGATTAACATAAACCCTCCATTTTGTTAAGATGCTTAGATCTAGGCCTTACAAGGATTTTTTTTCCTTTTCAAACTTTTTATATATCTTTGTTATCATTAGATGCAAAATGTTGAAAATAAAAAAAATAGTTTTTAGTTCGTAAAGGCCTAGATCTTGAAATTCATCAAATGGATGGTCTAAACTTATTTTAACCATATCTAATATGCAAATTGACATGTGCAAATTTTGGGGTCGTACAAATGCTACAGTCCTAGTTTTCTAGAAGTGTGGTTTCATTATATTACTAGGTAACTATTACATGAAATCATTTGATATAACCCCTACTTTAATGTTTTATTTTTTGATTTATTTTTAACATTCTACATATTACTAATTTGGACTGATCGATATCTAATCTAGATCACCAAACAAACGATCTGATACATATATGTGGGTGAATGATCCACCCTACTAGTCCGAGTTTCAAAATGTTATTTCAACTTTTAAAACATTATTGTAATTTTTATTTAGATAGTTTGATATTCAATAAACCCGTATGAGCTTTTAGGAGTATTATTTGAACTTGAAAGTTGATCCATTTTGAAATTTATTAAATACGTGTTAGAGTTTCCTTTGAATGGAGAATTTGAAAATTCACCGGGTTGAAATCCGATGAATGGGTATCAGGTTTTATGAGGATGGTCATCATATAAGTAAAAGTATTTGTAGGATCGTAGTTTTTTTATTTTTTTGGGTAATTCAGTGAGGAAGACAGGCCCTATCAACATGTTTTCAATAATTGGGGAGTTACATTTTGAATGTGTTAATTGGGGGTATCAACGATAGGGAATGGATACCACAATGTGGTAATTAAGTGTGCTACCACCACCACCCAGCCCCTTTCCTATTTGTAGGACCATACTTTCTCCAATAATAATACTCAACCTCATGCTATATGGTGAGCACAAGGCAAGATATCGCGCATGCAGGTTGTATGATTAACATTGTGAATCCCAACAAGGAATATTAGGTGGCGGTCAAGTGGATTCTAATGTATCTTATGGGGTCATCCAAAATGTTTGAGCCTTAAAAAAGGCAAGCTTATGATAGAGGGATACATAAAGTTAGACATGGGAGGATATTTTATGATATTTAGAAGTCCACATCATCATCATTATTATTTTAGGTTTTTCTCAATTAATTGGAGTAAGTTCTTGAGAAGTCCACATATTGATAGTTATTCGCTTTAACAGTAGGAGTTATTACATGTCTAACTAACTTGCAGAAGTGTGTGTATCATTTATTAAAGAGGGAGAGTCCATCTCAGTAAGAGAACCCTGCAAGGAGATGCTACGAAAGAAAAATGTTAATCCAAGAGCTAGTTTGAAGTATGACAAATATATTATCCATTGTGATAGTCAAAGCGTTATTCACTTGAGCAAAAATGCGGGTTTCCATTTAAGGACGAAGTGCATTTATGTACATTATCACTTTGATTAGGATGCAGAAAGCAAGTTGTTGCAACTTGAGAAGCTCCGTGCCAACAAGAATGTGTTGGATAAGATGACAAAGGCTTTATCCAAAGCCTAGTAACAATCGTGTAAAAACATGGCTCTATTTTGTATCATATGAGCACCAAATTTTGGATAGGGCATAACCCTTATCATGAGATTGGAGGTCCCAACATCATTTTAATGCAGGGGAGGACCCCAACGATCATTCAATTAAATAGAGGGGCATTAAAAAAAGGGTGTGGTTTTCATAAAGTTGCAACTTTGAACCATCCATTTTATCATAGCATATAATTTTGATGTAAAAATATTCTTAAGATTATTTCAAAATCTATTTTCATATCTAATTATAAATTTTAAACTCCAAAAATGATTAAAATCAAGTAGATCTATAAACATATAACAATCTTGAAAATGGACGGTCTAGATAATGTGTTGTAAGATGCATCATTTATGCGACTCAAAATCCTTTATTTTTTCATAGTCATACATCTCAACATCGAGATGATCAATTAGAGGGTTTTCCAATATTAAAACAACCTTTTTCGATGGATTTTTGAAGTGCATCTGTAGTTCTACATTTTAAGGTTGCAACCTTGTATAAACGTCTCTAAGGGGTTTTAACTTGAAACCTCATCAAACACATATGGGTGGAGGGGCATCGAAAACATAGGGTTAATGTAAGGGCCCATTTAGCTCACTGGATTAAGATTTATAGGAGTCCTTCGGCCAATCACGTTTGTTTCATTTAGAATGGACATTTATGTTGGAATTGAGATTTCTGTCGAATTTCTGAATGCTCATTTTAAGCCTAAATTTTGAAAATCTCAATTCCAACAAAATAGGTGGATTTGACATTTCATGGATGACCCATTTTGCTGCTGAAAAATAAAAAATTATCAAATTTTTAGAGAGGGAAAAAATATCAAATTTTAAAGAGAAAAAACATATTAAAATTTTAGAGAGGGAAAACTATATCAAATTTTAGAAAGAGAATGTAACGAAATTTTTTAGAGAGAAAAAATATATTAATTTTTTAGAGAGATAAACTATCTCAAATTTTTAGAGAGATAAACTATCTAAAACTTAAAGTTTTAGAGAGACCATATTAAAATTTTAGAGAGGGAAAGTATCTAAAATCTTAAGTGTTAGAGAGAGAAAGTATCTTAAAATTTTAGAGAGGGTAACTACATTAAATTTTAGAGAGAGGAACTACTTGAAAAATTTTAGAGATACATATCTAAAAACATTTAGAGAGAGAAATTATTTCAAATTTTAAGTTTGAGAGAGAGAGAATATATTAAAATTTTAGAGATTAGAAACTATATCAAATTTTAGATAGGGAAACTACCTAAAAATTTTTAGACAGAAAAACTATCTCAAATTCTAAGTTTTAGAGAAAGAAATAATATCAAAATTTAGATAGAGAAAGTACCTGAAATTTTTAGAGATAGAAACTATTTTAAAAAAATTAGATAGGGAAACTATATCAAATTTTAAGCTTTAGAGAGAGAGTATATTAAAATTTTAGAGAGAGAAACTACTTGAAATTTTTAAAGAGAGAAACTATCTCAAATTTTAAGTTTTAGAGATAGAGAGTATATTAAAATTTTAGAGAGTGAAACTACGTCAAATTTTAGAGAGATAAAGTATATAATTTTTTTAGAGAGAGAAATTATCTCAAATTTTTTTAAGAGAGACTATTTCAAATTTTAAGCTTTTGAAAGAGATTGTATTAAAATATTTGAGAAATTTTAGAGAGAAAAACTATCTCAAATTTTTTAGAGAGAGAGAGAAAGGATTTGCATTTTCAAGAAAAAGATATTCCAATCAATCCAAACAAGGAATTTGCATCTTTTTTATTTCTACAAGATGTGATCCAAACATTATACACCATATTCCAGGAAATGCCAATTCCAGGATTGACTTTTCCCAGGATTAAAAAAATCCAGGGATCCAAACGGGACCTAAAGGAAACATTTTATTTAAGGTTGTATCTTTAAAATGTAGATTTAAATGTGCATATCAAAAATCCATCATAAAAGGTTGTTTTGATATTGGAAAACCCTCTAATTGATCATCTCGACATCGAGATATATGAATACGATAAGAAAAAGTGATTTTGAGTTTGAAAAATATTATATCTTACAATATATTATTTGGATTGTCCATTTTCAAGATTTTGATGTGTTTATAAATCTACTTGATTTGAACCATTCTTAGAGTTTAAAGTTTTGTAATTAGAGATAAAAATAGATTCTCAAGCCATCCTAATAATTTTTATACCAAAATTATAGCTGAAACAACCTTATTAAAACCACACCTAAATTAAAACCTAATCAAACACATATAAGTATGTGTTTTCTTTTCGTAAGTAAGAATTCCTTTATTAGAGAGAGAAACCCCCTTGAAGAAGAAAACCTAAATAAAGAAACAACTTATTGGAGGGAAAGTAGAGCAAGGAATTTGAGAGAGAAACCCCCAACGAATTGCATCACTTCTCAATATTGTTCTTTGATTGATCGTCCATCTTCGGTATGGCATATTGTGAATCACTTGAAGATTTGTGGAATTCCAAAGGTGGGTGGTATATTTTGGAATATTATGCGTAGTTAATTACTATAGGAGTTATGGTTGGAAAGACATAAGAGGACCTTTGATGGTGTGGCAATGGATTATGCAACTCTTAAGAATAAGATCCTATTTAATACTTGGAATTGGTTTAGATCACTTAATTTCCTTAAGATTTATTAAAGTGAGACCCACAAGTGCATGGAATCCCCCTTTGAATGGTTGTTTTAAACTGAATTTTGATAGATCCTCTATGGGAAATCTAAGTAGGGCTGGGGTGGGTGGAGTTTGCAAGGATTCAAATGAGAATATAGTTTTTTGTTTTGCAGCACCATGTGGAGTGGCCATTGCTAACTCCGTTGAATTGGCAACAGCCTTATAAGGTATCAACTTGTGGAAGAAGAAGAATTTGGGGGACGTTTTGATTGTAGAAGGGGATTCAAAGAATGCTATTGACTGGTGCAGTGGTAAGTTCGGCCCCCCATGGCGTAAGAGACAGATTTGGCTGCATATTAAAGAGATAACTAGCAGTAGCAATATAACTTTCAGCCATGTATATAGAAACGTTAATTCTATGCTGGATGATCTAGCAAAGAAAGGGGCATTTCTTCATTCTCTAGTGGTTTCTCGGGTTCTGTTTTAGTACTGCAATGATTGTAATGACTCTTTTGAAATAACAATATTCAATACTCTTGTCAAAAAAACAGAGATGAAGGGAAAAAAGGTTGTGATTGACAATAAAAGTATTTGTCATCATCAAGCTCTCTAATTTTCAATTGTTATAGTAAATTTGATTTTTTCTCTATGGATATAGCCCGTAAGAGTGAACTACGTTAAATTCGTGTGCTTCTTGTTTCTCATCCCCATTTATTCTCTAACACATATACACCTTTTGTTGATCTTTGTTCAAACTTCAAAGTGCATTATAAGTGTTTCGACTCTCTGCTTTCAACGAACATATAACTCAAGACATATTGAACCTCGAGCTTAGCTAGACTTGACGTAGTAAACTCGGTATTGGCATGGGTTTAAGATTTGGGTTTGATGGCTTAGATCCGGATCCAATATTTGATCCAGATAGTAATTTGGATGGGATCTGGGTACAAGTGGATCTAATTTGGATTTGACCCAATTATTAAAATGTTATGTATTATTTTATAAATTTATAAATATACATTGTATAGTATTTTTAAATATATATTATATAGTATTTTTTGTTATATATTATTTTATAGATATAAAATAATTTTTTTGGATCTTTGTTCAAACTTCAAAGTGCATTGTAAGTGTTTTGACTCTCTGCTTTCAAAGAGCGTATAACTCAAGACATATTGAACCTTGGCCTTAGCTAGACTTGACGTAGTGAACCCAACCATAGCAAATAGGATTAAGAATTGCCCAATCCGACTCAAAACCCAAATTTTGGACTCGATCCAAATTGTGGTATGGGTCTAAGATTTGGATCTGATGGGTCAGATCCGGATCCAGTATTTGATCTAAATAGTAATTTGGATGGGATATGGGTACAAGTGGATCTGATTTGGATTTGACCCGATTATTAAAATGTTATGTATTATATTATAAATTCATAAATATACATTGTATAGTATTTTTAAATATATACTATGTAGCATTTTTTGTTATATATTATTTTATAGATATAAAATAATACATAAAATAATTTTTTTGGATCCGATCGGATCCAAATATGGATCCAGATCCACATATACTTTTCGGATCTGATTCGCGTCCGGATCTGTATCTCCATATATACTTTTTGAATCCAAATTCCATATCTCGGTAGATCCAAACCTGATCCGACCTATTCTCAACACTAATAAATGGGTATCCAAGTCGAAGAGAAATAGGGAGAGATTTCTAGTAACCTCACTGCTCAATGAATGGTCAAGGATTTCTAATGAATAATGACACTGAGGACCAGCGAAAATAAGTAGAGCTACATTCATCTGTAGTGTCTATGAACTTGGACGGTGCAGATTTTGTTCAAAAGTCAATGTGAGAATCAGGGGCACTCAAGGCCCCTCTTACGATCATGGAGGACTATGGATGCTAGGTGGATTATAAGAGAAGTAGAAAGGTTCAGGGTCTTTGTATTTTTTTTTTTTCTTATTTCCATCTTAAATATTGGGTCTTTTTATTTTTATTTTAATTATTATTGGGGATGAAGGAGAATCCATAGAAATAAGCGTGTACGGTTTTGAAGATGATCGAATTTGGTTCTTGGGTGATTTCTAGTTTTTTTTAGAAATATGTGGAATTTTTTTTTTGTTGGAGAGAGACTCCCGATGGCCTATGCGTGTTTTTAGAGCGTGTTTGATAACAATAAGTTGTTTCCTGGAATTGGAAACTGTTCATCTTCTGTGTTTGATAAAAGACGGGAAGGTAAATAAAGAACTTACCTATTTCTGTTCATGTTCTCATATGTAAAGAAAAAAAAGTTCCGACAAAGAAGCTGAAAGTTTATGTCAAATCTTCCCCGATAAAATTGTGCCCTAGGGTTTACTCAGCCGCTCAGCCACCCCTCTCTTCGCAATTAGCCGCTCAGCAAGACAGCGACTCCACTGCGAAAGTTTTCTCTCGCTCTCTCTTCCCAGTAAAGGCAGCCTCTTGCCCAGTACTATTCGCGGCTTTGCAACCTCAACAAGTACCTCAAATCAGTGAGCTCTTTGTTGATTTTGCATTTTTTTCTTCTTTTTTCTTGCTAATTTCGGATTTATCTGTTAACAGCATTGTTCTTAGGGTTTTTTTATGGAGGAAACCCTATAAAAACATTTCTAGGGTTAAATCTACTTATTTTTGTGTAATTTTCTATGTTGAATGTAGTATTAAATTGGTTTAATAGTTTTCTATGTTGCAAATCGAGTTCTAAGGCAATGCAAAACCTTTATTTCGTGATTTTTCTATGTTGTAAATCTAGATTCAGGGTTAACTGATTGTTTTGAGTGCTTGACATCAAGTTCCCTGACAATCTATCCGTATTAGAGTGCTTGTTGGTTGTCTGCATGATAAGATATTAGAGAGCTTGTTGGTTGTCTGCATGATAAGAATATGGATGCACAATCATTTGATAGTTTGGTTTCTTGTTGGAATCAGTGTACTTCATTTCAGACTGCTGTATTTTTTATTAGCTTGATTCACTGTGAGATTGCTACATTAGCATCACCCTAGTTCATGCAATGCTTAAAATTTGTTATATTGTTTTTATTATGGAAAAAAAACCATAAAAAATTAAAAAAATTGAATTAGAGCTCCAAGAATGCTCAACCCTCCAACTCAATTTTGGACAAATGCAAAAGATTTAAATCTTTTGGAGCTCGAAATTGAATATTATTTAGAGAAGCCACCCCAAAAATAGTTTATTTGAAAAAGAGAAAAAAAAAGACTTACTTGGTTCAGATTTTCAGATTAGCTTGGGTAATCCATCAAAAAAGTAGTTTTGATTAGCTTGGGTAATTCATATTTTCCTGTTTCTCTTTCCTCTACCTCTTCTCCTACTTGCTTGGTTCAAATCTCCACAAAAAACCATAGTCTCTTCTCCTAAACTCATTCTCCAATTCAACTGCAGATTGTTTTGGTAATGGGGTGAGGCTGGATCCCCTTACTCTTCACCAATCTGGACCCTTTATGGACTTTGAACACCACCACTTTGATCCTTCACTCCCAAACCTATCAGACTATGAGACCACCATCTCCAACTTCTTCGAGTTGTGTGATACCAAGGTCAGGGACTATTGTCCATGCCACGACTCCAAGAGAGAGAAGAAATTTGACACTCATACGCTATTTTTCAGAGACTATTTGCATCAAATGAGTATTATTGGTTTTAGTTTTGTAGGACTTCTTTCAAGAAACTTTAGTTTCTGGGAATGGTCATAGTCAAATTTGGAAATTGGAAGGTGGTTTCGGGTTCATAATGAATGAGGATTTGGTTTCGGTTTCAGTGCTCTTATTCAACACTGATTTCCGAAGTGATCAACTTTACTTTCATGGCTAATTAAAATGTTGCTTGTCGTTTTTTCCGTATTTCTGTTTAACTAATCCATGTCGCATCCTTATTTGAGAAATTGCCCGGATGTCACTTGGATGACAATTCAATTTATCCATTAACCTTTTCAATGCCCTTTAGAAAGTTATTGCTGAGTTATTGAGATGGTTTTATTCATTATGCTGCAAATTGTGACAATACTCTATCATGAATATTAGCATCCTATCTGTTATTTACTGTAAGGGTCTTCAACTGTATTTGGTTTGAAAGAAACAATAAGATTGGCAGCAATGATTATGATGGCATCACATAGTTAGCATGATTTAGTCATTAAGGGGAAGTTATCAGGTGAGATGTTTTCATGCAACATGTAGGTGTAGAGAGAGAGAGAGCATTAGTTGGGGATGGACTTGATGACAATATTCTGATTATGACATTTCATAGGGGATGGCTCATAATGGAAGACATTGCTTTAACCGTAGATGAGACCTGGGGTCTCTTCTTATATGAGATATTTCCTTCTTCTGATACTTATCTATTTCTATGCTCTCTAGTCTATTCATTGCCCATTTAGCTCCTTACTGATTGTGTATACTTGCCATATTATGTGCACCTTTTGCTTGGGTTTTTATGAATGTGAATTTGAATTATAGACAACTTGAACTTAGAGAAACCTATACTTGAAGAATAGGCCCTTACTAATTATCTTACTTTCTTTTATAGGATTTGATTAGATTTCTGTTATTATGCTCGCTATTGTTATGCTTTATTTATGGTTCAATAGTACAGGGTGGTTTTGTTTCTGGTTGAGGATGTACATTTCCAACATTGTCCTTTTTTGCATCCTAAGGAACCTTTTGTGTGCTAAATGCTAAACAATTCAGCATGTTGAATTGTGGTCAATGCATTCTTATCCTGATCTTTATGTTGAATGCTATGATGGTTTTACTTTGTACAGTTTTGGCATATTCAACGCATTGAGTTTCCTTAAGCTGTATATGACAATTTTTTGTGTTGTTTCTCTTTAAAGGGTCTAGACGATATAGATTTGCATTCTCGTTGTTGTAGAACTTGGTTACTGGATTGTACTTTGAGCTTCCAATGATTACTAAAATTCACTGTGGTACTTTGTAATATCTTTCTCTGCATTTTCTCTATTTATGTTTGAGCTATAATGCCTTGTACTTATTATTATTTATTTATGCTTAATATTTAGTGCCATCTAGTTTAAAGAAATCAACCTAACGAGGCTTTATTATAACTGCTAAAGATTGCCATAACAATATGAGCCAGTACAACCTTGTAGAGGAGGCCCAAGAACTTCTTTAGCTTCCTAGGAGATTATCAAACATAGAAACCATGAACTTCTTTAACTTCCCTGGAGGTTGTCAAAAACAGAAACCAGGAACTTCTTACAGTAACTTGTATCTTCCCAACAAGGAGGAACTTCCAATTTACAGTTCATGAACTTGCTTCCAGTTATCAAACATGCCCTTTGGGCGTGTTTGATAACAGGAAGTGTCTTCCAGGAACTTGGAACAGTTTACTGTTCATCTTTGGTGTTTGATAAGAAATGGAAGTTAAATGGGGAACTTCACTTTACAGTTCATCTTCCCCTTTTATGTGTTAAAAAAAGTTCCAACCGAAAGGTCGGAACATGAAGTGGGAAGTTTTTATAAAACTTCACCCCCGAAAGTTTGCCCTACGTGAGTCTTCTTCTTTACTGTTCATATTTCTGTTCTTCCTCTTCCGCTAAGCCATCCCTCTCTTTGCAGCATGCTGCCATTAGCCAGAGCCCTCTCGCTGAGCCACCCCTCTTCTCTGTTCTTAGCTGCACTAAGCCGCCTCTTCTTCCTTCCTCGTCAACCTCCCAACATCCCTCTTCGTAGAGCCTCCTCGCCTGCTTCACCAAGTACCTCTCTCCTCTCTCTCTCTCTCTCTCTCTCTTTCCATTTCTGGTAAAATGGCTTTCTTTCTCATCTCTCTCTGCAGAGCTACTTTATTCTCTCTCTCTCTCTCTCTCTCTCGCTCTCTTCATTTCTGCAAGGATGTCACAGGTTTTTTTCTTCCAAAAATATATTTCTCTCTTTCAGACCTCTCTCTCTCTCTTAGATCCCACAAATTGATCGATTTGTCTATTAACCTAGCCCGTTCTCTCCCTCTATTTGTATTTATCTTTCTCTATCTCTCTCTGTATCTCTCTCCATCTAGCTGTGTAGCCCTAAATCTCTTTCTCTCTCTATCGCCCACTAAAAGTGTTAGCCCGTTGTCCTTCTCTATCTAAAAAATTTCATTGATTTTTTTTTCCAAAAATATCTTTCTCTCTCTTTCATACCCCTCTCTCTCAGATCCCCCAAATCGATTTATTTTTTGAGGGGATCTGAGAGGTTCACGGTTTTTTTTTTTTTCATGGATTGTTAGCTTTATATAAAATATATCTCACTGTTTTTTTCTTAGATTGTTAGTTGTACATAATAGATGTCACTTTTTTTTTCATGGATTGTTGGCTTTATATTAAATAGATATTTTTTAAGATTGTTAGTTGTATATAATAGATGTCACTGTTTTTTTTAGATTGTTAGTTGTATATAATAGATGTCACTGTTTTTTTTTTTTCATGGATTTTTAGCTATTTATTAAATATATCTCAAATGCTATTTTGATTGGCTCGGAGTTATTTGCATGATTGTGTAGTGGAATTGGCTCCTCTTTGGGTGTTGCCTTTCTTTAGATTTTTGATTTGTAGATGAAATCTTAGCTATTATTTTCATTATTTCCTTCTTGAATTCACTAGAGCTATTTGGTCTTGCTTTTTATGCCATAATTGATTTGTAGTTCACATAAAACATGAGTATGCAAAGTGATTGGTTACAATCAATTGCGCTTCACTCATATATCTATAGTTAGCCATGTATTCTTCTTGTATTTGTTTTTTTCATTTTCATGTAACATTTGAGGTGAACCTTAATGATAAATTTTAAGATGATCCTTGGTGCAAAAGAAAAAGTAGAAAATACACCATCTGCCAGAATATATCTACCATATATTTATTAACCAGGTCCCCTCCCATCTCGCAAATCTGAGTTGATTTTACTGGAATTGAGAATAATCTTACTTACCTCTGTTTTTTTTTTGGGCTTGTTCAGTTTTATTTAGCTCAAATTATGAATGCTGTAGCTACCATGCTCTTTTTTTTACCTTTCTATTTTTAATGAATAATGCTTATGGGTTCATGAAATCTGAATATAATTGTATATTCAATAATAATCGATAATTGTATAAAATATATTGGAGCATAGTCCATAATGACTTGAGTTAGTTCAAATGGAACGATTGAAAAGGACAAGAGGTAAGCCCAAAAGGACATGGTTGGGCGTAGTCCCCATATCTTGGACTTATGGCCTCACTGATAATATGGCCTTTAATAGAGTAGAATGGAGAACTAGGATTCATGTACCTGACCCCAATTAATTAGGAAAGGGCTAAAATGGTGGTGAGGATGATGATGATGATGATGATGATGATAAGATTACCAAATACTCAGTCAAATGGTTTGTACTAATATAGATGAATTTAATCTTGCTCTTTTGTAATTTTCTTTCTCTTGTATTAAGTGCTTAGATGCACAAGAAAAGACAAACTATTACTATGCCTCACTAGAATAAAAAAAAA